ATAGGGATTACTTAAAAAAAGAAAAAAGAGGGGCACCTGGGTGGCTCAGTTAGTTGAGCTTTCTACTCTTGGTTTTGACTTAGGTCATGATCTCAGGGTTGTGAGGTCAAGTCCCAAGGCGGGCTCCGCACTCAGCAAGGGGTCTGCTGAGATTCTCTCTCCCACTCTCTCCTTCCCCCTGCTCCTGCTCTCTCTCACTCTCTCACTAAAATAAAGAAAAATAAATAATACAGAGAGATCTTGTGTACACTTTACCTACTCTACCCACATCTTGCCAAACCAAGATATCAATATTAATCTTCCCTAGTTTAGGAAGGAGAGAAGGGCAGTAGGAGAAGAAACAAGAAAGAAGCAGTACTAATCTTTTGTCTGTAGAAACTCTGCTTTATGGCCAGGTGTCAAGAACATTGGCTCATGTTCTCAGGGAATATTATCCTGCTCTTGGTTCAAACAATGAGAACGTTGGTCTTATTCTCTTTCTCCTATATGTATTTTTTACCCTAACACTTAGAAAATGTTTGTAAAATACTTTAAATCCTTTCCAATATCATATAAATATGAGATGTCTGGAAGGATTACCTGGGGGCTTGAAGGGAAAATATCCATCTCACTGTTCTAAATATTCTAAATATGTGATTTCAAGGAAAGACACCCTTTGTTAGCTAAATGAGTAATGAGGGTCAAGGAGGGGATATTAATCTGAATAGATCTAAACATAAGCTCACCCAGGACTTTGAAGGTTATCACCATGGTCTGGATCTGGACCAGTGTTTCCGACATCAGAAACGAGGTGCCTAGAAATGCAGAGAGAGACATCCAAAGCCCAGGTGATCCTTGGCCTCTTTGACAGGGGATGCTCTGTCCTTCTAGCCCCAGCATTGAAAAGAGGGTTCCCAAACAACCTCCAGGTCCTCAGATTTTCAATTTAATCCTAGTGTGTTAAATGTTGACATCCAAGGGTCTCGGGCACAGGCCTGGGTAATGATAGGGCCCACGAAGATGACCCATCTGGATCCCTTGCTTCAGGGTCTCCCTGGTGTCTTTAAATCTCCATTCACTTCTCCTCTAGCTCGCTCCTACGGCCCCACTCAGGGTCGCCCTGACCTTACAAATGTCATTCTGTTCAATCCTACAGTCTACCCTCTCCTCTCATGTACCTAGGCAGCAAAGCCCTCGTCTGTTGGCTTTCTGCAGGCTTAGGTCTTCTCTGCACTTGGGCAGACCAGCTGGGACAGCTTCTCTCCCTTGCAGCAACTTACTGGAGGCTGCAGGGCTCAGTGTGGTCATCATCAGCCCATGTACCCATTTGTCCAAAGAAGCAATAAGTAGTGGTCTCACCTGTTACATTGCTGCCCCCCAACAAGGCCTCCCTGATTCTGAGCCGGAGAGAGTGAGAGTCCAATATCTGCACCAGCCTTACCACCGCCTGCCCCTTGCAGTCATTGGCTCCCCTTGGTTCAGCCTCACACTCCTGCAGCCACAGGGAGAAGTCACAACTGACACTTACCTTCCAGTCATGTGTACAGAGATGGGAGGAGAAGTTTCCAGAAGAAAGGGATGCTGGGCCCCAATCCCACTGGAGTGCAAATCTTGACTACTGCAATGACTCAGGCTAGAGACAGGGTGGGCTCAGAGCAGGATGGTGACAGTGACAGTGGACGTGATCAGAAGTGGTTAAATTCCGGTTTTTTTTTTTTTAATTCTGGATTTTTTTATTTCTATTTTTTTTAAGATTTTATTTATTTATTTGACAGACAGAGATCACAAGTAGGCAGAGAGGCAGGCAGAGAGAGAGAGGAGGAAGCAGGCTCCCCGCTGAGCAGAAGCCCGATGCAGGGCTCGATCCCAGGACCCTGGGATCATGACCTGAGCCGAAGGCAGAGACTTTAACCCACTGAGCCACCCAGGCGCCCCTAATTCTGGATTTTTAAAAAAGAACTTATTAATTTATTTAGAGAGAGCATGTAATTGGGGGTTCAGCAGAAGTAGAGGGAGAGAACCCCAAACAGACTCTGCACTGAGCACAGAGCCCACTGGGATGCTTGGTCTCATGACCCTGAGATCATGACCTAAGCCAAAAATCAAGAGTCTGACGCCCAGCTGACTGAGCCACCCAGGCGCCCCTGGATGTGTTTTTAAAGTAGGGCCAACAGGGGCACCTGAGTGGCTCAGTGGGTTAAGCCTCTGCCTTCGGCTCAGGTCATGATCTCAGGGTTCTGGGATCGAGCCCCACATTGGGCTCTCTGCTCGGCACCTGCTTTCCGCCGCCCCCCACCACCGCCTGCCTGTCTGCATACTTGTGATCTCTGTCAAATAAATAAATAAAATCTTTAAAGTAGAGCCAATAGGATTTCCTGGTGGATTGGATATGGGATGTGAAAGACAATAGGGGTTCAATTCGACCCTGCAGTCTCAAACCACAGTTCTTGTCTCATTTTAAATCCCACTCATCTGAATCTCTGCTGTTCTCAGACATCGCAGCACCCTCTTGTTCCCGAGGATCAGTGTCCCACTCCAGACTGCAATTATCTTGTCATCTTCAGCTTTCTCTCTGCGCGCCCCTCAGGTAATGTTTTAGGTCTCACAGAAGTGACCCCTGTTTGATGTTCTCTTAGTGTAGCTGGGCCTGAAGATCACGTAACCATGTGGCAGTGAACACTGCTTAACTTCTCTTTGAAATAAAACACAAAGGACCAGTGGCCTTCTTTGCCAGCTGTCCAGCTTACAGCTTTTTCAAGGAGAGTGATGGGACCGCTTATAACCGGTTTTACACCTGGAGGTCTCAACTCTGTCACCCATCAGTGAGTGACAGTCACATTATTGAGATTTCATTTCCCTGTCTATAAAAACTGGGTGACTCAGCTTGAGATGAGAACTAATCAAGGGAGATAATGGATATATTTAAGTATTTACTATATCTCAAGATCTTTTTTTTTTTTAAGATTTTATTTATTTATTTGACAGACAGAGATCACAAGTAGGCAGAGAGGCAGGCAGAGAGAGAGAGGAGGAAGCAGGCTCCCTGCAGAGCAGAGAGCCCGATGTAGGGCTCAATCCCAGGACCCTGGGATCATGACCTGAGCCGAAGGCAGAGGCTTAACCCACTGAGCCACCCAGGCGCCCCTATCTCAAGATCTTTTGATATATATCTATAATTCTATGTAAGCCCTATATTAAGCTCTTTTTACATAGCTGTCTCATTTGATCCTTATAAAGTAGGTGCCATTATTACTTCATATCACAGATGAAGAAACTGAGGCTTAAGTAGATTATGTGACTTGAGCAAGGTCACACAAGTGGCACACGGTGAACCTGGCCAATCCAGCTCTGTTGGATGCCAGACTCCTCTCTTAACCACTTCACTCACATTTCCTCTGGTGTCATCGGTGTGTCGTCTGGGTGTGCCTGTTACGCACAGATGCCCAGATCTATCCCTCACTCAGACCCTCTGAGTCAGACTCTGAGGCTGGGCTGGGAAATCTGTGCTTAACCAGAGCTCCAGGTGACTAATTCCTGAGAGGCCTGAAACATGGCAATGACTGTATCTCCTTCCATTGCTTCTGAGTAATGGTAACGCCTTCTGCTGGTGTGTGTATATAGTCCTGACAAAGCCTCAAAGCCAGGGTCATGTGCAGGAACCTCAATTCTAGGATTTCATACATACAAACCCCATCGGATAGTTCTCATGGGGCAGCAACTCTCTGTGCCTTCAAGAGCGTTAATGCAGCCCTGTAATAAACCAGGTAATGGTCAGGATTCATTGGTAGCTGCTCTTCAGACTAGTTCATTTAAGCAGAAAGGGATTTCTCCTAGAAAAATAGGATATTAAGCCATTATAATATCTTTGGGAGGGCTGAAAAATATGGTAGCTGGATTGAGCATCCAAACATGACTCCCGAAATCACAGCTGAGCCTCAGAAGTGATTGCCCTTGCCATGAGCAGGAGGCTGCTTGAAAAGTGGCATGAGGGGCGTGGAGAATCAAGGGACCCTGGGTTTGGGAAGTGAGCAGAAGTGAAGTCCCTGGGGGTGATCAGCAAGGAACAGCTGGGGGAACTCAGACACAGAAACAGAAACCAGGGATGTCAGAAGTTCCAGAACCCGGGAGTGGCCAACATTATAAAACACAGTAAGAGGGCCAGTGGACAGGGAGCTGGTGGGAGGCGAGGCTAGCAAGTACTGTTGACCTTGACAACCTGGTGACCTTTGCTAGATCTGTTAGTGAGCTCTACCAGCAGTTTCAGGGGTTTGGTGAGGAAAGAAACCAGATGGGTGGGATAAAGGACAAATGGAAAAGGAGCGAATGGAAGCAGAAGTGCAGCATGAACACGGTTTTGAAAAGGTACATTGAAATGGAAAGGAGATATGATTTATGGCTAGAGATGATCTTGGAGTGTAGGGTTTTTTATTTGCTATTGTTTGTTTTAGGTCCAGAGAAACTTGAGCATAGTGATAGCAGAGCCATTTGAAAGAGAAGTTACTTAATGGGTCAGTGTTCTGAAGGTCAAAGAGGAAAGGGGTCAGGGCCTCGATGGAGGATTGGCCTGGAGTGCAGGAGCAACAGCTCATCTTGCCGCTAGAGGAAAGGAGGTGATAACAGCTACAGATACAGGTGCATTCCCAGCATGGGGGGAGTGCAGGAGCCATACTCATGGCTGAAATTATGTTCCAGATTTTCTTCTCAAAGCAGATGAGGTCATCTGCTGAGAAGGAAGACACCAGCCACTGAGTGTGGAGCTTGGAGGAGTTAGAGGTTTAGAACAGCAGCTGCTAAGGACAGGTGAAGTGTTGTCAGTCAAGGATAGTATCAGCCCAGATAAAACTGAGCATTGTGAATTCCAAGTGGGACAAACTGCCAAAATAACATGTGATTTAGTAGTTCACATCCTTGGACCAGGAGTGGAGAGGTGAGTCACAGGACTACTTCAAGGCTAGTGGGGGCTGCTGGACTCCATGCCTTTCTCTCTTTACTGAATGTGCTCTTTCCTATTCGGGTGTCAGGTGCCTCAGTCAGGAACCCTCAAGCTGTCCCACTTACAAGAGGGAACATACACCTTTCAGCTCACGGTGATGGACACCGCCGGGCAGAGAAGCTCCGACAACGTCTCAGTGACAGTGCTCCCGGTGGCCTTCTCCACGGGAGGTGAGAGGAAGGTCCTTCCCTTGCATTCACAGTGGCCAACCGACGCCAGCTCTTCATGGGAGGATGGTATTACACTGGCATTTGATATTCTGACTGCATTTCATGGGCTCTACCCTTCTTTTTTTTTTTTTAAGTAGACTCCACGTCCAGCATGGAGCTCAACCCAGGGCTTGAATTCATACACGGAGATCAAGACCTGAGCTGAGATCCAGAGTCGGTCGCTTAACCAATAGAGCCACCCAGGCACCCCCTTCCATTCTATTTTTGGTTGTTGTTAAATAAGAGTCTCCTCTAAAGCTGTGACAAAAATAGGCTCCATTATATTTGGGCCTTCGTGGCACTGCTAGGTTGGGGTAGTGGAGGCTCCGGGGACAAGAGTAGACTGTGTGAACCACAGGGCCCTCTAGATTCATCTTGCCTGACTTGCTTTCACAAAAAACAATCATGTGGTTTTTCCCAGAGAGAATGTTGCTTAAAGGTGAGCAGTCTGTATGATATGTATGTTCAGAGAGTGCAGCTAAGAAGCGTATTTAAAACAAATTAAAATTAAAGATTTTAATAGTCCTTTTAAATTGTGTATGTCAATTTAAAAGGACTATTTAAAATTTTTCGATACACTAATAATATAGCTTTACATATATGTGATGGGTCTCATACTCTGTTGCACAACATAAACTCACTCTTCTCATTTATCTATGTTTCTTACTTTCCCCAACATCTATGTTTCTAAGATTAGCTCATCAAGTTTAAGAAATATATGTATGGAACTTGAGAGCATTAAAGAAGAGGTATTGCAGAGGGAAACCCCCCACAACTCCCTACTGGAGAAATGCACAGATAAGTGTGTATCTGAGGGTCTTGTCCTTTGGTCCGCAGCTACTCTCGGTGTCTGCAGGAACACAGGGTGCGCGGGGCTGTGCTAGGCCCTGGGCGGATGGAGGCGTGCTCCATAGACCTGGCCCTGGACCCTCCCCCACGTAGTGAGCCTTCATGGTCACTAGCCACGGCTCTAGTAAACCCACAGCATGTCTTTGCCATCCCTAATTACTCAGTAATTAGATGGTAATTAAGCCAGCAATTGGAATAGGGGTAAAAAGATTGGAAAATGACTGTATGTCACCAATCTTGTCTTCCATCCCGCATAGGTCAGAATGCGTACTGGAAACAAAGCAAGATTTTAGAATCCTGAGAACTTGGCAGCCTTAATCATTTGCCTTTCACAGGGACAGGAGCAAAAGTAGCATCCTGAATCTGGCTGGCTGACTCCCCATCCAGCCCAGGTTCCAGTGTCCCTGGAGGAAGGAGGGTGACTGCCTGGGGACTGGCATGGCACCAAGCTCCTAGCCACTGCCGCCCTCTGAAGCCATGATGGCAAGTACGAGGAGCGTCTGGGTCAGGAATCCGAGCCAGCCCGGATGCCAGCTAGGTCACTGACTTAGTGCAGCCACAAAGGAGAGCTCGACAATTACTCAGAATGTTTTTGAGGGGCACCTGGCTGGCTCAGTTGGAAGACTGTGTGACTCTTAATCTCGGAGTCATGGGTTTGAGCTCCACATTGGGTAGAGCAATTACTTAAAAAAATAAATAAATAAATAAACTCTGAAAAATGAAAACATTTTTGGGTACCTTGGCATGCTAGGCTTGCAGCAGGGCCATTGGAAACACGGCCTCAGCTCTGGCCACTCACTCCCTGTGGAGGACCGCAGAACCCAGGTGCTATCATCCTGGGACCCAGGGTCACCTGCATAGAGAGCGAGTCAAGAGCTCACAGGAGGAAGGCAGGAATACCCCACTCTTCCTACAGAAGTTGGAAAGGGATTGCTTCTGTACAACCAAGGTGCCTGGGAGAGAGAAAGGGATACAAGCACAGGTGCCAGGCGATGACCAATGCTGCACCATCCTGGCATTTGCCTGGTTTATTTGCTCAGACCAATTTCCCAGGGCTACAAAGGTAAATTACCAGTTGTCCATTTCTGGCCTTTCTCTGAGATGATAATAAAATGTATTTGAAGTTACATGAATCACTTTTGGTTACTGAAAGGCCACTTGGATATAGGTCTTCTGTATGTAACTTTATATAGAAAATAAAAAAGAATGGCTGTGTTATTAACTGCTATCTGGAATTGCTCTCCCGCTAGACTGAAGTGACATACTATGAACTAAAGTGAAAAAACACCACATAGAGACACTGAAAACCAGAGTGGGGATAGAGAGGTGTTTCTCTCCCCTCTGTTATATACATAGTGGCCTTGCAGTTAATAATCCAGTTGTAACGGTAACCAAGGGAGCACCTTCTGGGGGAAACAGACAAGCATGTACCCCTGCTTATGTGATAATAATGTGATTGACTTTGGATATAGAGGCTGCATGTTTTCAAGCTTGGGGGAAAATCATATCTTCAAATGCCAAGCCAAAAACCACCTCCAGTATGATCTAGATTAGTGGTCTCCAAAGAGGATCCCCCAGGGATAGACATCTTTAGGATGGAAAAGAAGACACCTGAATTTATATTTTTAGTAATTTTTAATCTTCTTTAAATTTTTAGTATTTTTATAATGTGTTTAATATGTTAGTATAGTAGTATATGCACATTATTTCTAGATGGAGATATGTATTTACTAATATGTATAATATATAATACTATATTTATTGATCAGATGGGCGGTCAAAAAAATAATTAGAGACCACTAATCTAGAAATGAATGGATAAGTTACAAATACCAATCTATCTCCCAGACTACAAATGAATAAGTAAAACCTTGAGATATTTGGGATTTTCATGTCATGATCTTAACAATGTGAGCAGTAGCTATATCCTGCTTGGTGTTCAGGGTAACCTAGTTCCCCCTCACTTTTTTTCTAAGCTCCTTTCCTGAAACAGAAGGAATTCCCCCCTTCTGGGCTGAAATCCTTGGTCATAACTGAAGCTCTTTGCTTCCTTTTCTTTCTCAGGAGCTTCTACACCATTTCTTCTCTTCTTCCTTCTGGGTCAAGGTATTTTTAAACTGCCTTGTACCCAGAGGGACTCCTTTCCCAGGCCCCAATTTAACTGCCTTCCAAAGGAATATGTATCCAGGATTTCACCTGGGCTCAACCATTTGTTTCAGTAGAATATCATCATCTACTACGCTCCCATGTCCTGAGAGAATTGTCTAGCTCCTCCTGTACCCGGGAAATTATGAAGTTCCATTAGAGCTACTTCTAGCTTGATAACCTTTAGTCTGCATTAACCAGAGTAAAAGTTGTCCTGCAGTTGTTGTATAGCTAAGTCTGGCAAAATTGGCTTAATCTGGAGCGGGGGAATGTCTTTAAAGAAAATACAGGTAACTCCCATGAATCACACTGTAGATTAAAAACTCCTAATAGCTCCAAAAGGGAGGTAATTTTTTGGACAATTTTTTGGAGACCGCTTGTCCTTATTTAAGGAAAACAAATTTGTACCAGCTAGTAACTAAAGATCTTGATTATTCTTGAGAGCACCAAGGATATATGATAGTCAACAGAGTTCAATAGTAGAAAGTTAATCTCAGCAAAAATTATTACTTAGGAAACAAGACGAGACATAGCATGTGTAAAATGGTGTCTCTAATTAAGCTGGCTAGGTAAGAGCATTAGGAGGCCCCCAGAGATGATGGGATGAACGAAGGAATGCAGAGGGAGAGCTGGGAGGGAGCAAAGCCAGGGCTGTCTGGAGAAACCCAGAGCGGCCACTCTGCTTGCACCTCTTCAGCACTGTTGCCTGGAGAATGGCGCTGAGACAAGAGCCCATGGTGGTGCCTCAGAACATAGCCAGGAGGTCAAGGAGATACCCTTCACTACCTAGAAACCTGTTGCTCCAGCTCACACTGTTACGTGTCTCCCCATTATTTGCATCTCTAGACCCCAAAGCATTTCACTGTACATTTAGTCTTTGTGAATCAGAACACAGAACATGGTGAAGGGCTGACTGTTCCCACATTCCTGTAACATGAGACTGTTTGTAAACAGGATGCCTGAAGGTTTGCTCACGATACCACTTCTTTTGTGACGATGGCTGTTGCATTGACATCACGCTGGCTTGCGATGGAGTGGAGCAGTGTCCTGATGGGTCTGATGAGGCTTTCTGCCAAAATTGTGAGTCAGCTGCATGGCCTTTTCAGGCAGCGGGGGAGAAGGGATGTCTGTATTCTTATAATAAAATGCAAACTCACTATTGCTCTTTTTCTACCCGGTTTCAGGTATAACTTCATGTGAATAAGCTAGGCCTTAAATTAAATGAGCATTTAGTAGGAGTCTTAATCTGGGTTCTAAATGTCAAACCTTTTATATTGCTTACCTTTTTCAAAAATTGCTTTCAGTTTTCTAAAAGATTCTTCCCCATCCTAAAAAAGCTGTGTAGAATATGGTTTTTAGGGGCACCTGGGTGGCTCAGTCATTAAGTGTTTGCCTTCGGCTCAGGTCATGATCCCAGGGTCCTGGGATCGAGCCCCACATCGGGTTCCTTGCTCAGCAGGAAGCCTCCTTCTCCCTCTCCCACTCCCCCTGCTTGTGTTCCCTCTCTCACTGTCTCTCTTTCTCTGTCAAATAAATAAATAAATAAAATCTTTTTAAAAAGATTATGGTTTTTAAAAAAATTAAGGTGAGTTGGGGTACCTGGGTGGCTCAGGGGGTTAAGCCTCTGCCTTCAGCTCAGGCAATGATCTCAGGGTCCTGGGATCGAGCCCTGCATCGGGCTCTCTACTCAGCACGAAGCCTGCTTCTCCCTCTCTCTCTGCCTGCCTCTCTGCCTACTTGTGATCTCTGTCTGTCAAATAAATAAATAAAATATTTTTTTTTAAAAACTGAAGTGAGTTAGGATTTTGTTTTAATAAATTTTTTTTTGAAAATGTACAGTGTACTGGGTGTGCCTAAGTCAGGACTATAAATCCATCTTATAATGTCATCTACCTACACAAAAGGACACTGCAAGAAAGAAGGAAACTTCAGAAAGTGTAATGAAGGTGCTGGTTTGAAGAAGGATGTAGAATCTCAAAACCTTAGATTTAAGCTTTGTTTTTGTTGATATATGGGTGACATTTAGAAAGTCAATTATTGGAAGAGAAGAGAAAACAATTTACCCATTGAAGAGAGAGAAGTTTTTTATGGGGCTCTGACATGCCTTAGATGATTATTATTCCCAAATACCCATGACTAAATCTAGAGCAAATTTAGGTGTTTTTTTTTAAGATTTATTTTATTTATTTTTTTTTTTGAGAGAGAGAGAGAGAGAGGAAGGGGGAGGTGCAGAGGGAGAAGGAGGTAAGTAGACTCCCCACTAAGCTCAGAGCCCAACATGGGGCTCTATCATATGACCTTGATTGTGACCTGAGCTAAAACCAACTAACCAACTGGGCCGCCCAGGCGCCCCCACCAAATTTAGTGGTTTTAGTTAGAGTAGAAAAGAAACCCCAAACCCAACAGTAGCTCTTCCATGTTCCAGTGAGCCTTGACCGGAAGACGGTGACCCACACAGCAACTGCCCAGCCTAGAACCACAGGACCAAGCAAAGATGCAGCAGGAAGCTCCTTCTTGGAAAAGTCCCTGAAAGTCCCTGTCCAAAACCAGCCACCAGCGTTATCAAACACGGAGAAGAGGAATCATTCCATGTTTGGGGGACCAGAGAGTCAAACCAGTCCTGTGATACCAGGTAAGGACCTGAGCAGGTGCTCCACAGCCTTATTTTCTACGGTGACACTTGGCTTCAAAATTCAGGTTATATTTGGAGCACCTGGGTGGCTCAGTCAGTTAAGCCGCTGCCTTCAGCTCAGGTCATGATCCCAGGGTTCTGGGATCGAGTCCCACATCGGGCTCCTTGCTCAGTGGGGAACCTGCTTCTCTCTCTGCCTCTGCCTGCCACTCTGCCTACTTGTGCCCTCTCTCTCTCTCTTTGATAAATAAATAAATAAAATCTTAAAAAAAAATTAAGGTTATATTTGATGAGTGTTTAGGAAATACAAGAAAGAAGAGAGTTAAAATGAAGAATTTGGCCAAAAAGGAAAAAAAAATCTATTTGCACTGGTTATTTATAGTAAGGAACACCTACTAAATAGATTCATACATTCATGCATACTCCGGAGAGACCAGCACATTTATTCGTAAATAAGCTAGAATTAGGAAATTTCAACACCTGTATTAAGGAAACAAATGCCCTAAGTGTTAAATTTTAGGTTATTTTGAGATGAAACAGCATAACCCCTATGCATCCATGTAATTCCTCTTCACACTAAGCAAGTGAATGTAATGAAAATATATGTCACATGGAAATGGTTGCATGTGCCAGCAATTCAGTGTTTCGTCCCCAATTTAACTAAATCTGTAATTTTTTGTATTTTCTAATAAGGCTAATAAGAATTTTAAATATATTCACACCGCTGAAGGATTAGTATTCTATCATCTTAAATTTAGTTTTGCACATTTGTATTTGTTGATGACATAGACAGAAATATAGAAGATCACATTTCTGTACGCATTTGTAAATGTCTTCTCAGTACTCCCAATTCTGCCTACATTATATGGAAATATTCCGTCACTATTTTAAGAACTTCTTGATGAAAATTTTTTGTTCATTGCAGATGATGCAAATAATAAAAAATAAAAATGACTTAAAATACCACCCTTTACTAAAAACAACTTTTAATATTTGGGGATATTTCTTTCCCATCTTTTGTTTATCTACTATTTGTTTACTTATTTATTTGGGGGGGCACTTCTAATTTATTTTATTTTTTCAATATTCCGAGATTCATTGTTTATGCATAAGAGCATCTACACAAAACCTTCCACTTCGGGCTTAGATTTAGGTGCTTTCGGTGCCCCCGCGTTGGGTCTCTCCCTTGTTGGTACTGCCACCTGCTGGGCAAATCAGTCAGTCCAGCCAAGCCTTGTAGTCCCTTTTCCCAGAATGGAAGGTATGAATGGAGAAGACAACCCCCCCCACCCCCCACCCCCAACCACGAGGCCAGAGTCAGGGGAGACTTGTGCTCTGGGCAGCAGGGAAGAGCTGAAGAGCTGGCGGATAGGACAGAGGAGTTCTCACAGGGTCTCTGTGGTAGAGAGTCTCACATGGGTGTGAGTGGATTAGCTGAAGACAGGAGACCAAAGCCCATGTCTCCTTAATTTGGGTCTAGTCTTGGCTTGCTTGGCCTTTAGAACCTTGAGCAAGCTGCTTCATACTCTGGGCCTGTCTCCTCACCAGTCAGTAAGCGATTTCAAGCAGACAACCTCTAAGCCCCCACAGCCCTGAGAGAGCTTCGGGAATGATCCACAGCCTGATGCTTGTGCTGGTTTCCAGGCCAGAGTGCTCCCCGATCCCAGCGCTGTCTCCTGGACAGTGAGCACTCAGCCTCAGAATTTCTTTGAAATTTCTTTGAAAACAGTGCTCCAGGCTACACCACCACTGGATGGGAGCTGGCACTCAGTTTGAAAAGAATTTGCAGTCTCTGTGTTGTCCTTTTTTGATAATAAGCCTCTGACTTTGGTTATAAAGATGTAAGGAAGGGAGTTTCACAGATGCAGAGAGATTAAATGTCCAGTTACTATGTTATATTATACATTATATTATAATATAATAACATATTTGTAATATGTATTGTTCTTCCTAACTATTAAATACATATTTACTGTAGAAAATTTGAAAACTACAGAAAAATATAAAGAAAAAATTAAAACCATCCAGCAAAACTCACCATTAACATTTTGTTACATTTTTTTCTGGTCACTTCAATTTATGCACATATGTACACACTTTTTTTTTTTAAGATTTTATTTATTCATTTCACAGAGAGAGCGCAAGTAAGGGAACAGGAGGCAGAGGGAAAGGGAGAAGCAGGTTCTCCTACCAAGCAAGGAGCCTGATGCGGGGCTCAATCCCAAGACCCTGGGATCACGATCTGAGCTGAAGGCAGCCGCTTAACCCACTGAGCCACCCAGGTGCCCCGTATGCACATTTATTCACTTTTTTAAATAAATTAATACACAGTGTTCTAGTTTCAGGTGCACAATAGAGTGATTCAACAATTCTCTGCATTACTCAGTGCTCCTCATGATAAGTGTGCTCTCAATCCCCTTCACCTACTTCACCCGAACTCCTAGACCCCTCTCCTCTGCCAACCACCAGTTTGTTCTCTGTATTTAAGAATATGGTTTTTTGGCTTTGTTTCCTTTTTTTCTTTGTTTTGTTTCTTAATTTCAATGAGTGAAATCCTGTGGTATTTGTATTTTTCTGTCTGACTTATTTCACCTAGCCTAATACCCTTTAGGTCCATTCACATCGTTGCAAATGACAAGATTTCACTCTTTTTTATGGCTGAGTAATATTCCATTGTGTATAAATACCACCTCTTTTTTATCCATTCAGCTACAGAGGGGCTCTTGGGCTGCTTCCATATCTTGGCTGTTGTAAATAATGCTGTTGTAAACAAAGGGGCTTGTGTATCTTATTAAATTAGTGTTCTGTTTTCTTTGGGTAAATACCCCTGCAGTGGAATTACTAGATCATATGGTAATTCTGTTTTTAATTTTTTGAGGTAACTCCATGTTGTTTTCCATAGTGATTTTACCAGCTCACATTGCCACCAACAGTATACAAAGATTCTTTTTTTTCCCACATCCTCATCAAAACTTGTATTCCTTGTTTTTTGTGTTCAGGTTTTGTGTTCAGGTGTGAGGCGAGAGCTCATTGTGGTTTTGATTTGCATTTCCCTGATGGTTAGTGGTGTTGAGCATCTTTTCATGTGTCTGTTGGCTATTTATATATCTTCTTTGGAAAAATGTCTTTAGATCTTCTGCCCATTTTTAATCAAAGGTTGTTTTTTGTTTCTTTGTGGGGGTTTTTTGGTGTTAGGTTTATTAAGTTATTTATATATTTCGGATGTTAACCCATTACTGGATATATCATTTGCAAATATCTTCTCCCATTTAGTAGGTTGCCTAGTCATTTTATTTATTTTTTTTAAAGATTTTTATTTATTTATTTGACAGACAGAGATCACAATAGGCAGAGAGGCAGGCAGAGAGAAAGGAGGAAGCAGGCTCCCGGCTGATCAGAGAGCCCAATGCGGGGCTCGATCCCAGGACCCCGGGATCATGACCGGGGATCCTGGCAGAGGCTTTAACCCACTGAGCCACCCAGGCGCCCCTGCCTTGTCATTTTATTGATGGTTTCATTTGCTATGCAAAAGTTTGTTTACTTTGATGTAGTCCCAATAGTTTAATTTTGTTTTTGTCTCCCTTGCCTGAGGAGACATATCTAGAAAAATGTTTCTACAGCTGACATTAAAGAAATCACTGCCTATGTTTTCTTCTAGGGGTTTTATGGTTTCAGATCTCATATTTAGGTCCTTAATCCTTTTTGAGTTTATTTTTGTGTGTGGTGTTAAAAAGTGGTCCAGTTTCATTCTTTTGTATGTGTCTGTCCAGTTTTTCCAACACCATTTATTGAAAAGACTATCTTTTGCCCATTGTATATTCTTGCTTCCTTTGACCATACAGTTGTGGCTTTAGTTTTTGATTTTCTATCCTGTTCCATTGATTTATGTGTCTATTTTTGTGCCAGTACCATACTGTTTTGATTGCTACAGCTTTGTAATATATCTTGAAATCTAGGATTGTGATACCTCCAGCTTTGTTCTTCTTTCTCAAGATTGCTTTTGCAATCCTACAACATTGGGATTTTTTTGTGGTTCCATATAAGTTTTAGGATTATTTGTTCTAGTTTTGTGAAAAATGCTATTGGTATTTTGGTAGGGATTGCCTTAAATCTGGATTGCTTTAGGTATTATAGACATTTTCACAATATTGGTTCTTCCAATCCGTGAACATGGAATGTTTTTAGATTTGTTTGTACCATCAGTTTCTTTCATCAGCATTTTATAATTTTCAGACAAATCTTTCACCTCCTAGATTAAGTTTATTCCTAGATATTTTATTCTTATTGGTTCAATTGTAAATAGGATTTTTAAAAATTTTTTCTTTCTTCTACTTCATTATTAATGTATAGAAATGGAACAGATTTCTGTATATTAATTTTTTATCCCACAAATTTACTGAATTCATTTATCAGTTCTGGTAGGTTTTTTTTTTTTTTTGGACATTTATTCACTTTTAACAAAATTAGGAACACGTTATGTTTACGAAACTTTTATTTTTCTCAGGAGTATATTTGTGTGTTATTATATATCCATCAAAAACAAAAAATTTTTTAAGAAACAAACACCCAGGGGCGCCTGAGTGGCTCAGTGGGTTAAAGCCTCTGCCTTTGGCTCAGGTCATGATCCCAGAGTCCTGGGATCGAGCCCCGCATTGGGCTCTCTGCTCCGTGAAGAGCCTTCTTCCTTCTCTCTGCCTGCCTCTCTGCCTACTTGTGATCTCTGTCAAATAAATAAATAAAATCTTAAAAAAAAAAACAAACAAATGCCCCCAAAAACCGATTCATAAATACAGAGAACAAACTGATGGGTGGTAGAGGGTAGGTGGGTTGGAATGGGTGAAGAAAGAAAACACAGTATTTGAAAAGTCCAGGGTGGAGAAAGTGGGAAGAGAAGGACAGAACTTTGCAAATGTTTGAAAGGGCCCTCTGAACACGAGGTTTGTTGAGACAGCAACTATCTCCTCCCTCCCCATCCCTAAGACCCCCACACTAGCGTCCCC